CAGGATCCTGGGGGGCTGGAGGGGCACCCCCATGCCACCTGTCCGAAGCTGACAAGGCCTATGGGCCAGGTCCTGTGACTCAGGCCTGCTCTGGGTCCCTGTCTTCCCAGCTGCAGCCTGAGAAAAGTGAGGCGCGGGTGGAGGCCACCCAGCCCGCCCCACCTGGTTTCAGCCTCCCAGGGCAGCACCCTGGCTGCCCGTGCTTGTGGTTCCCTGAGCCCTTTGGCTGGAGTCTAAAGGGTGGGCCCTGCCTCTTAAGTGGGTGGGAACTGACTAAGTGATATTTCAGTCAATACCCTCCTTCCCCTTCTTCCATCACCGGTGAACTCCTATTCACCACTCAGTGCCCTTCTCAGAAGCTATCACCAGCCCTTGGAATTCTGAGTCAAGAGCCCAGTCTAGTCACTTAGAAATTGGACACAGTAGCTGGGTGCTGGTGGCTCACGCCCGTCATCCTAACTACTCAGGAGGCTGAGATCTGAGGATCATGGTTCAAAGCCAGCCTGGGCAGGAAAGTCTGTGAGACTCTTATCTCCAATAAACCACTAGAAAACCGGAAGTGGTGCTGTGGCTCAAGCATGGAGCGCTCACCTTGAGCTGAAGAGCTGAGGGACAGCACCCAGGCCCAGAGTTCAAGCCCCATGACCCACAAAAAAAGAAAAAGAAAATGGACACAGTTAAAGGTCACTGCATTGTTTCAGTACCTAAGGTTGAACGCCCTGCCAGGCACGGGAGGCTCACACCTGCAATCCTCAGGATGAGGCCGAGATCTGAGGAGCTCAGTCAGAAGCCAGCCCCCACACACAAGATAGTCTACGAGATTCTTTTCTCCAATTAACCAGCAAAACGTCAGACGTAGAGATGAGGCTCAAGTGGTAGAGCACCAGCCTTGAGCAAAAAAGCTCAGGGAGTGTCCAGCATGGGTGCGTGCGCGCGCGCCCGCGCACACACACACACACGGAAAGGAGCCGTGTGGTACATGGTGAGCTGCCTGGCCTGCTGCGGGGCAGGGGGTGTCCTCAAGCTGGCTGGACGTGTCCACGGGGCTGTCTGACGTGGGGGGTTGGGGGGTGGAGGGCGGAGGAGCTCAGCGGAGGGACCTGGCCCACCTTCAACTCATATACGCACTGGGCGGGCTGGAGGTTCATTCAGGAAGGGCCTTGGGGAGCCTCAGGGAGCCCCTCTGCAGACTGAGGAGCCGCCACACCCATCCCATCAGGCTGGCCGCACACCCGAGCCCAGCGGACGGGGCACCCAGCATTTGATGGTTGCGGTGGGTAGCTCTCGGTCCTGGGGGAGCAGGTTTGGGACACACGCATTCTGGGGAAGCAGCTGGGGGGTGGGGCGGTGGAAGCGCAGGCCACCGGGCCTCAGGGCCTACGGGGCAGGTCCCCCGGGAGGCCAGGCCACTCGGCGGGCACAGGCCTTGTTGGTCTCTGCTGCTCTTCTCCTGCCTCTCTCTGGAGGCCCTGGCCATCCCCAAGGTCCCTTTGCCCCCCCCCCCCAGCCCCTCATCATGGAAGAACACTCCACACTTCTGGGTACAGAACGTGGGCCTCTGTCTTCTGCACCTGCCTCTTCTTCCCACCCCACAGGACAGGCCAAGCGGGGAGAGGGGACAGCGTGTCTAGCCCTCCTCTTAGCCCGCCCAAGGGAGTCTGAGGGGTTCTGGCAGCTCTCCTCCCACTCCTCACAGCATGGGGTGCGGGGGGTGGGGCAGAGACACCAACCCAGGGTCCCTGCCCTGCCCCAGCGGGGGAGGCTGTGCCCCAAGGCCTCCGAGCAGCCTGGCAGCTGGCAGCACCTGTCCCAGACCTGGGGAGACGCTGTGACCACCTCCCGGCGGGGGGGAGGGGGGGGAGGCAGGTGGAGGGGGCAGCCCTGGCTGGCCACACTGGGGCCTGAGGGGGAGAGGGCTTATCCCCACCTTCTGGAGACTCCCAGAGAACTGGACGGAGAACGCCGGGCCAGGCACTGCCCATGCCCAAGTCCGGTTGTCATGGAAAGTAACATCCGGCCGCGCCCTGGAGGTGACTCAGCAGGCCGGGCACACTGGAGTAGAGGTGGCGGTGAGGCTTTGGGGCGCCGCCCAAGGTGAGCTGGCAGGTGTGCCTGGCTAACAAGTGTCCAGGTCAGCATGGACTACAGGACAGTGGCCTCCAGGTCTCAGCATCTGGAATTTACTCCAAACACACGGCTGTTAAAAAGCTGGCTGGGAGAAGGGCACTGGTGGCTCACGCCTGTCATCCTAGCTACTCAGGAGGCTGAGATCTGAGGATCGCGGTTCAAAGCCAGCCCGGGCAGGAGAGACCGTGAGACTCCTATCTCCAATAAACCACTAGAAAACCAGAAGTGGTGCTGTGGCTCAAGTGGTAGAGCGCTCACCTTGGGCTGACGAGCACATGGTCAGCACCCAAGCCCAGAGTTCAAGCCCCATGACTGACAAACAAAATCTGGCTGGCTGAGCCTGAGGAAGGCCCCGGGGCCCTGAACAGTGTGCGCTGGAGGGCAGGGCCAGGGCCGCCCGGCCAAGTGGGGTGGGACCGGGTGAAAGTGGGTGGCACCCACCTGCAGAGATGCAAGGAGCCCCCCCCCACTGGCCAGGAAGGGCCAAAGGTTCAGGTTATATGGAAGGCGGCAGGGGCCGGGCCCCTGCCCCACACCTGCCACCTACTGGGTGACAGGCGCCAGAGCCAAATAACCCAGGGGGAGTGGCAGATAAGATAGAAGCCTGAGGAGCCCAGAGGCCTGCGTGAACCAGCCCAGGGCCTCTACCTCCACACGCAGACAGCAGGCAGCGCAGCCCTCTCAGCTCTGTTCATGGGGCTGGGGCGGCTGGGACCAGGCCTGCGGGCTTGGCCTTCTAGGTTCCTTGGGCCCCTATCACCTCCAGGTGGTAGGAGCTGCAGGGCTGTGCTCACCCTTCGGCTTGGCCCTGCCCTAGGCCAACAGGTCCTGAGCCTTCAGAGCAGCCTGGCCACAGGAGCAGGGTGACCCGGGCGCCCCACCCCTGTGGGGCTGGGAGTCAGGCATATACTGTGTTGGAAGCCCACCAGCAGCCACGTGAAACCCAGGTCAGACCACTGGAACCGCGGGGGTGACGACAGCATCGGGGAAGCACCGGCGGCTGACACCCTCAGCACCTCAAGAAACCACAATCCTGAGCCGAGTTGCCCGCTTCTGGGAACTTTTAAGAAGTCTGCTTACACGCAAGCAAATGTCCCTATTTTATGATTTTAATTTTGTGTGCTGGTACTGGGGCTTCAACTCGGAACCTCACACCCTGCTTAGCCATTTTGCTCGTCTGGTGTTCTATCATTTGAGCCACAGCTCCATTCCTAGCTTTTTGCTATTAAGAGATGAGTTTCAAGATCTTTTCTGCCCAAGCTGGCTTTGAACCTCAATCCTCAGGTGTCAGCCTCCTGAGTAGCTAGGATTACCAGTGTACACCATCAGCAGCTGGCCTAAACATCCTCATTTTAAGGGGACCATGATGCAGTCAGGTCCGCCTTCTAGATGACCCCAGGTCCGTTTAAATCCAGACACGGCTATTTCTGCTGTGCTCTGTGGACCTGGGTGTGAGCACACCCTACTGTGACAACGTGGAACGGCTGGGTGGGTGCTGGTCTCACAGGGGCCCTGCTAACCGGCCTCCTGTAGACCCTGGAGCACTGGATATGGAGCAGTGGCCCACGCAGATAAACACAGGCCGAGAGGAAATTGTTCAGGGACAGTGCCAGGCCCAGAGTTCAAGCCTCGTACACCAGCACAAACATAATCAAGAGGGGAACTTCTCCTGCAAAGCACTACTGCTTGGAAGCCTGTGTATGAGACTCCAGTAACTGAGTCTCAGGGGACTCCCAGGAGGTGGGGGTCTCATTCAGAAAGGGAGACAAAATGCCAGTACCCCAGCAGCTCACCATTTACCCTCACCGCTCCTAAAGTCCCTGTCATGCCGCACCCAGTCGGAACCAAGGGTGGCATGCACCAGTGGCTGCTGGTGCCTCCTGACCGTACCACTGATGTCCACAGCCACCTGGACATATGCTAGGCTCGCTCACTCACTCGGCCAACAGTCAGGGCGTGCAGTACAGAGCATGTCCTCTGATTCTCATGGTGTGTACCGCCAGCATCAGAATGAATGTTGCAGGTGCAACAGCGCCCCCTTCAGGGAGGCTGAGCCTCTCCACCCACTGCCCGTTGGAGGCAAGGTAGCTAGCTAGCACACTGACAACTGTCCCTGTGCAGTTCATGGAAATTACCCAGGCACTTAGTTTTCTGCGTCACTGCTGGTCTTCACATTACCCTTGAACTGCATGTTTATGGACACCCAGGAGACAGTGACACCTAGAGCTGGGAACATTTCTACCCACCTGGTTTCCACCCTTTCCAGTGGCTGCCCACCAGTGTCAGCTGGGTGCTGGGCCTGCCGTGGGCAGCCGGGCGAGATCAGCGCCTGCCTAGATGGGGGGAGCAGCTGCCCAGCTCTGGTACCCCAAGCCCACTTCCAGGTGGAAGGCAGGGCCTGCGGCTGGCCACCAGAAGAGCCGGCTCTGAGGCTGCTCCCCCTGGAAACCAGTCTCTTCCTGGCCGGACAGTCAGACGGCTGAGCAAGACGTCTGCCCAGCAGGCCTTTCTGATGGGGTGGGGGAGGGCGGGCATGGGCGACGCGTCCCTTCAGCGGGGAGCAGGTGACAGCTCTTGGCTCTCTACAGAAAGCTTCCTGTGGGTTCTGATTTACCCAGGCGTCATCCTCAAGGCCTCTCCTGCAGTTTGCAAAGGGCTCCTAAGCCCACGCTTCAGTCAGACAGCCTGCTTGGTGTGTGTTGGGGGAGGATGGGACACTGAGGTGAGGGTAAATTACACGCAGCCATTTCCTAAAAATGAGCTTTCAAACCCCAAACACAACATGAAGGCAGAAGAGCAGCCGCGGCCAGAGCCCCGAGCACAGCAGGCGCGGGGCTCCATCAGCACTGCACAGAGACACAATTCAGCTCGGCTCATGTTTCACAACTTTAATAGAATATTCTAACTATTCTGTACAAATTGAAAACACCGTATTCAGTTACAAATGCGTTATCAGGTAAGGCTGCGCACTCTAAATGCCTGCTGCCGGCTGGACCTGCTGTCCCCGCAACCACCAACACACACTCAAACCCCACACACGCGCCGCAACAGGCCACACCAAACCCAGGGCTGAAGACAGGACAGGGTGGGGTCAAACAGGGGACACTGAGGAAAGGAGACTAGAGGCTCACACAGAACAGCCACCTCACGGGGCAGCGCCACCCCCAGCGCGGAGGCGCAGGCCCTGGCTCCAGCCCCGCCCGTCTGCAAAGCGGGTCAGAGCGCTCTCATCCATCCTTTCCCTCAGTCACCAGGTAAACGCCAAGGCGGAGCCCCCCGGCTCTGGCCCCAGAGCGCACCCCAGAAACCAGGAGAACGTGGCCACACTACCAGCTCTCCGGGGATGGCCCACCCGCAGCAGTCAGCAGCTGCGAACAACGGGGGCAGTGGAGGCTGCAGCACCAAGCACACTGCTCTGCCCAGGCACGACCCCTGCCTCCCCGCCCTCCCCGCATGGTCTCGGCCTCCCAAGGGCAGGGCCAGGGAGGTCCAAGGCTGCAGAGGCGCTAGAACTAAGCCTGCTACTTCTGAAATGCAGTTCCGTCGCCACTGTACAAGTTAAGCAAAGTAAGAAGGAAAGGAAGGGTGAAAGTGAAGTCATGCACTTGGAAGGGTTAGATGTCAGCACGCCGCGTGCGGGCCGCTGCAGGGCCGCCCCAGGCGCCGGCAGGCCCGCTGCTCCTCACTGCTGCTTGCATTCTGCTGGCTGGCCGGCTTCTTTCTGCAGGGAGAGAACACAAGGCCTTGTAGAGAGCCAAGGCAACACCGCTCACCGCCATCTCCAGCCCACCACGGCAGCTAGCCCACGGGTTCGCATCAGAAGTGGGTACTGGGGGCAAGAAACCAGAGCTGACCCCCGCAGTCACAGCAGGCTGGTTTTAAGGGCACCTTGTAGAGCCCTAATCAGTGCTGGTGGAGGGAGGTGGGCTGTGTGTGAGGCCCCACCACAGGCACAATGGCAGAGCCCTTGCCACCAGCACAGCCGGGTAATCCCCAGCACCACACACGTTACTGACTGCAACCTGGCATCGGCACTGCCTCGTGAAGTCACATCTTGAGGTATGAGCACACAAGGAACAGGGAGCTTGTGGAGGAGCCCCGAGTGGGAGCGGGGGGGGGGACAGGCTGGCTCGGCCTGCATCTCAGCTGCTCTGCAGGTTGCCAAGGAGCCCAAAACAAAATACACTCAAAATCCAAGCCAAAAAGATGCCAACCAAGCATTGTCAGGCTGCTCTGAAAGGGTGAGCCTGGAGGAGGCTGGGGCAGTTACTGGCCTCTGAAGTGTGAAGTGGGGTGTCCCTGGCAGCTGCAGCAAGCGCAGGATGGCATGCAGCGTGCGACTAGTAAGAGGACGGGCAGAAAATGGAAGTCAGGGGCTGGGGCCCTCTGACCTATCTCCACCACAGCTCCCCGCACCCCAAAAAGGAAGAGGGCTTAGCACAGTAGCTCACACCTAAGGTTTCAATTATTGGGTGATAGAGATCAATGTGAGCTTGGGGAAAGACTGGACACAGAGTTAGTAAGATCCATCTCAACAAACTAGGTACTATGGTGTTCACCTGTAATTCCAGCTACACAGGGGCAGGGAATGTGGGATCATAGTCCAACAGTCAGCCAGCCCACCTAGGCAAAAAACTTGAGACCCAATCTACAACATTTTATTGGGAGGGGGAGGTGCTGGTACTGGGGCTTGAATTCAGGACCTGGGGTCTTAAATTTCCAGCTTTTTGGTAATTAATTGGAGGTAAGAGCCTCGGGCTTGTCCCAGGTGGCTTTGAACCACAGATCTCAGCCTCCTATATAGTTAGGATTTCAGATGTGAGCTACTGGCACCTGGCCTCCTCCACATCTTTATGCATACATAAATCACATATACACAATGTCACCTAACAAGGGGTTGTTGTGTAATTTATCTTGTTTACAGAATTGAAGTAACAATTTCAACCACAAGAATGTAACATCTCTGACCTAAATAAAACCAAGGCTAGAGCTAGAGCAGAGACTGACCATGTGCCTGTTAAGAGTTCAAGAGGACCTGGTTCAACTCCCACCCCCACCCTGAGAGAGGAAGCCCACCAGACTGTCTCATCCAACACAGATATGAGCAGGCCTGGCTACGGTGAGGGCAAAGAGCTCCAGGAAAGGCAGCGGTAACTGGGGAAAGCCTATGCCTCTCAAACTGCCTGCTTCTCCAGGTCTGCAGGTACTCTACTCCTCCAGGGAGGAAGCCTGCTACAGCCAAAGTCAAACTGCAACTCAAGTGGGTGTGGTCACTCAGCTATCTAGCCTAAAAAATGGAGCCCCGACCCTTCAACCAAAGCTTAGCCCAGCAGGAGCCTGGCTTCAAGGGTGGTCAGCGGAGAAGGGTGGAAGGCAGGCCTCTAACCAGCATGCCTCATTCCACCAGCTGCACTAGGCACAGCTCCCACCAGGGTATCTTGGACCGTTTCACAGAACTGCTGGTTCAGGTGCATGGACGGCAGGCCAGGGAACCCACCAAATTGTGTGGCCATCAGGGTGAGCCTTCTTCCCTGGGGGCAGCAGCCCCTGCCATGGCACGTGATGCACACGGCCTCTACACCTTTCTTCTTCCTCCCACTGCATCCTAGAAAGCGCTGAGCACCCTCGGGTAGGGACTAAACTGGCTCTTCCCTCCTCTGACCAAAACTGCCCAACTCAACTCCCCGAGAACATCCCATCCATTGTTCTGCAGAGTTCTCGCGGGCCCTTTCTACTGCCACTGTGTCTGATCCCGTCTCAGTGCAGATGGCACAGTTGGGGACAGCTGGCGGGGCACTACCAGGCCTGCTGGTCCACAGGGACTTCTGTGCCACCCAGCCAGCTCCTTACTCTTCCTCGAGAGCATGCACCTGACGGACAGCTTGTAACTTGCTGCACTCAGCCAACCAGGGGGCACATCTCCCTGTGGCTGCCCATTTTACAAACCCAGCAGCAGAGCCCTTAGGAGCACTGGGCTTGCAAGGCCCTAGCACAGCCCTGCAGAGTGGCTGGGCGCACCTTCCTATGTCCCAAAGACAACGCAGGGCACAGACCAAGTACAGACAGAAGTTTCAAATTAGGTATGAACGGATTCCACCTTACCTAGAACGCATGAATGATTAACAAAAATTACACCTAAATGGGGAAAAAATTGAAAGGAACTGTCAGCATGAAAGAAAATGACAAGTATAAAAATCACACAGGAGGCAGCAGCCACGTTCTCCTGACAGAGCTGCAAGGTACCAGGTGTACAGGTGCAGCCCAGCTGCCCTCCCTTCAAACACGGCCACCAGGCAAGACTACTCATGCCAACACCAATGCCCTTCCCTTGTTTCTCCATGGTGACCCTTTGCTGGGGGTGGGGGAGGAGGACCACGCACAAAGGGACACAACTGCCTCAGGCAGCCTGTGCTGGCAGCTTAGCCACATCTTTGCTCCTGGCCAACACAACCAATCAGAGGTGCCAGCAGGTGATGCTAGCCATCTGCAACTACCTGGAGAGACGCTATTAGAAACCAAGGGTGAGAGGAAACAGGCCCGGCAGGGTGAGGACTGCATGCAACGAAGGAGAAAGGAACGAAACCCACAGACCAACAGTGAGACCAACAGCACAACGCCACGGTGCCCCAGGCCAGTCCTCAGCCCCTGCCAACTTTGGCCACGGCTACCCCATGCCCACAGGGTGGCATGTTCAGTGCACACACCTGGCTCATGTTCACCAAGCAGTCCCCCGTCACTCCCAGAGTGCGGCCATAAGATTATTCCAGCGTGGTGGTCAGGAGGCACATCTCTGCGAATGGAGGCCCTTCCTCTCCCACCCTTCCCCAGGGCCCGCCCGCTATGAACATAGTGCACACAGACGCATGACATTGGTGTGCAGACTCTTCCTCCATGTGTGCATGGTGTCTGTGCAGACCCTTCCTTCTCCCACCTTCTATCCTCCTCTGGGGCCTGCCATGGGCACACAGGTGTGACATGTATGTGTATCCGGCATCTGTGTGCCCTTCCTCCTCCCGCCATGTGCACACACGTAGGATGTGTGCCCTACGTGTGCATGGCGCCTGCATCCGACACTGGCTGCAGCACAGAGGCACGACGCTGGCGGAGTCCACTGTAGGGCAAACAAGGGGCAGCACAACAAGGAGACCAGACGCAGACCACAGAGATGCCAGCAATGCCACACCCACCATGCATGCTTCCGTTGGCATGCAGGGATTGTGGCTTCCTGCGCAGGCTCATGCTGCACTTGCACAAGGCCAGCTGTCAGCGGGAGGTGGGCTCAGCTCCCTGACCCATACTTGCTGAGACCATGGATAAAAACTGGGGGAGCTGCTGGATGGAGCTACCTGCTCATTTTTCTTTTAAGCCTGTTTTCTCTATCAAACCTTGCCATTTATTTTAAATGAGCTGAAACAGATTTACCCATTTGAGATTTCTAGGCACTCTCAGCCCAAGCCTAACCCACAGTTCCACTTTCTGCTCATCAGTGCCAGGGAACACTCAGAAGCCCCGTGGGACTTTACTTCCAAAGACACACCCCGACTTCTCACCAAAAGCTCCTCGGATATACTCATTGAAGCTGTTTGAGGAGACAGGAGCCTCAGAATGCAGGCCGAGCTGGCACACACTTGTGCTCCTCTTGCCTCTTATCTCCCTAGAGCTGGGATTAAAGGCGTGTACCGCCATGCTCAGCACAATTCTACCTCAATGTGAGCAACGCCTCTTCAAAGTCCCACAGTAGAGCACCTGCTGGTTGGGGAACCCCAAATAACTGACCTTAGGGTTAATTTCAGCATCTTCTTCCTCTTCTCCTTCCTCATCACCTTCCAACTCCTGTATTAAAGGAGAGAGTTATTTGGAAAGACGAAGATGGGACCATGAAAGCAGCCCTTGCTTTAGAGGAAGCCTGTCCCTGCCACACCCTATGGTTAAACCATTTTGTCTGTGTGTATTGTTTTCACTGACAAGCCTGAAATAAACACACATTTCTAAAGAAGATCATTTTCTCACTTCTGGAAAACGTGCGGATTTCTTTAACATTTGTGCCAGTGCTCGGGCTTAAGCAAGGCTAGTGCTCTACACTTGAGCAACAGCTCTACTTCCAGCCTTTGTAGCAGTTAACTGGAGGCAAGAGCTCACAGACTCTCCTTTGCCCAGGCTGGTGTTCAACCATGATCCTCAAACCCCACCCTTGAGTGGCCCGGGCCTTTGGCACTGGGCAGGGGTTTATTTTCTAAAGGTATATTTTGGAAGTAATTTCAGGGTGACAAATCACGGGCTTGGTGCGGCATGTGTATGTATTTGTGTCATTGCTAAATAGGGGTGCAAGAATCAAAGGTGACTGGGACTGGGAAGGTGGCTCAGTGGTAAGAGTGCTTGCCTCACATGCATGAGGCCCTGGGTTCGATTCCTCAGCACCACATAAACAGAAAAAATAAAGCTGGAAGTGGCGCTGTGGCTCAAGTGGTAGAGCGCTAGCCTTGAGCTGAAGAGCTGAGGGACAGCGCCCAAGCCGAGTTCAGGCCCAACCGACCAAAAACAAGAATCAAAGGTGACCCCCACCACATGGCAGTACAATCCACATGGGCAACATGAGGGCAGTGCCAGTCCACACTCTCCATGTCTTACCTCCTCTTCTCCTTCCTCGCCTTCTTCAAACTGGAGTGGGAAAAACCCAGAAAAAGCATTAAGATTATAAAACTTAATGTAGCCTGCCAACTAGCACCCCCACCAGCCGGGACTGAGAAAGAGGGAAGTCTGGAGCGACTTGCTGCACAGAGGTGCCACCTAGGCAGAGGCAGCTGCGGGCTCTGGGGACACACTGCAAGCTCAGGCTAGGCTGCAGTGCACATGTGAACCTGTGTCTTCACGGGACATGAGTAAGTGAAAGTCACTCCAATCAAGGGGGAGAGGGGATGGACAGTGCGGGGGCACCAGGAGGTGCCAGGTGTGACAGGCTGGACCCACGTGGGAACCTGGCTGACTCTGCTCCCACTCTCATCTTCAGTCTAAACTGCTGGCAGTGGAAGAAGCTTATCTATAAGGCAATGAATCCATTTTTTTTCTCACCTACACAGCTAGCTGGGAGTATAATCAGTGGGTTTTTCATTTAATCAGTGTATATGTGTATGTACACATGTGTACGTGTATGTAAAAGCTCACGTGTGTGTGTTTGTGTGTACTGGCCACCAAAGTAACACTTGGTGCCAGGGCCCATCAAGTAGGAGCCACAGAGGCCACACAGCTACCAAGGGAGCAGCTGGGCGAGGAGGGTGGGGCGGGCATTTCTAATTCTAGCAAACACTACCCACTGGCAGTGCACATGCGCTGTCTCCATGCTGCCTGCTCAGGCAGAGTAATGGCTAATCCATCCAGGTCAGCCCCTGACATTTCAGCTAACTTAAATGAGGATTCTTTATTAAAAGGGCCACACTCAAACAAGCAGGACATGGACAGTCCTTTCTGGAGAGGACAGAGTGCTCAAGACAGCTTGCAGAGTCTCCAGTGGGAAGCCCTGGTCTAAACCTGCTGTGTGATTGGCCTGTCCTGAGACCTGCCCCTCTACAACTCTGCACTCAAGAGGCCTGCCCATACTCAGTGGGTCCACATGCCTTGTTTATAGCCATCCACTTCCAGCCAGGGTAAGCACCCTTCAGAAGTTAAACAATGAGTTCTGGGTCCTGCTAGCACACACCGGGAAAGATGTAAGGAGCCATGGCTCATGAGAGAACGAGCTCCAGCTCTCTCCAGCTTGTCGGATGAAACCGACAAGCTACAGAAGAGAAGTCTATCTCCTAGAGTGCACAATATCCTATACCAACCCATGCCTGGCACCAAACAGCACTTGGGGCCCCTCTCCCAGCAGCCTGCAGGAGCTGCTACCCCACAGACTTGCGTGGAACTACTGCCAACCACAGTGTGGCAGGGCCCAGCCTCCCTGTGGTTTCTAAGCACTCAGCCCCTCCCAGGACATGAGCCTTCTGCCCCTTCTGAGGTTTTCAGATCTGCCACATGGGCTTCTTCCACTGCAACTTCTCCAACTGTCCCCTTCCGCATCTATCCCCCCCAGCACAGGAGAGAGGGGACATGGTGCGCCTGGCTGATGACGAAACTCAAATCAGCCCCCCTTGCACATACATGGTCATCGTCCTCTATGGCCTCCCCCGTGAAGTAGAGCACGGCCCGCGGCACTATCCGCTCTCGGAAGAAGTGTCCAATTTCAAAATCAGAGGCTAAAGTGAACTCTGAATCTTCATCCTGAGGGGAAAAACCAACAGGTTGACTCATCTGGGTGGGGCAAACACATTTATTTGCTCAAATCCCCTACCCAATTTTCACCCTCCACTCCTAGCTCACTGGGCTTGACGCAGGGTCATCACATACTCAAAGCCACACAAAAGCAGCCTGAAAGGAATTTGAAAGCAAAACTGCAGGACAGGTAGAGCTCAGAGTCTGCAGTTCTTCCTCCACCTGCCCAGGTTTCAAGCTAGAGGTACTGGAGATCCTAACAGTGAACCCCAAAACTGGAGGACTCCTGTCTACTCCTCAAGCAAAGGACATAGGGAATACTCCCTTCTCCCCAGCCCCAGGGTGTAATGACTATCTTAAAGAATGGACAGGAATGGATTGAAAGAGGAGGCCCTATTCAGGAAAGAGAGACTCAACCAGAAAACAGGACTTTGACAACACAAATCTTACCAGTGATTCTCCATCCCCAGAGGCTAGAAAAAGAAAAGACAAAACATGTACATTACATTGACAACCAAAAAAAATGTAAAAGCTCACAAGAGGATGCTCAGCTGACAAAGGAAATGGACACTTCTAACCCCAAGGGTTTTAAGGCTAGACCCCACCAGAATCCTGGGATGGTTTCTCAGGCTCCCACCAGAGCCTCCCCTGACCCTGACCTGCTCCCCCCAGACCAGGCCCAGCTAGCCAAAGTTAAGAATCAGAAAAGCACGAGAGCAGTTTAAAAAATGGACAAGGAAGAAGCACAGGCTGAGCCGAGGCAGCACAGCTCTGCTGGAGAAATGGAGCTCCTGTCTATCACTGGGAAAGGCAGCAAGCAAGTGTCTGCTATGTCCCCCACAAAGGGTACAACTCTCTTGCCAAGGCTAATGCATAGACATGGTCAACGCATACAAGAACAGACTGGTGCTGACATGGAAAGAGCAGAACAGAAGAGGGACTTCTGACCACATTCCATGAAGCTAAGCCATGGCCAGATGAACAATGTATAATCCTGGCTGAAAATCCAAGTCACAGGGTACAGACAGGCAATCTTGCCTATGGAGACACAGGTTAGGAGGATCAGGGTATAAGACCAACCCAGAGTAAAAGGACCCTATATGAAAGACTAAAGGCCAAAAAAAGGACTAGGGATATGACTCAAGTGACAGAGCACTCTTCTAGCAAGTGGACCCTTGGCTTACCCCTCAGTTTCTGTCACGCACATGTGCATCCTATGGACTCTGCAGAAGCTCAAATGCACTTGACTTCTACACTGGTTTGTAGGAATAACAGAGTAAAAAGCCAGGAGCCAGTGGCTCACACCTGTAATCCTAACTACTCAGAAGGCTGGGATCTGGGGATTAAGGTTTGAAGCAGCTCAGGCAGGCAAGTCCATGAGCCTCCTATCTCTTAATTAATTACCAAAAAGTCCGAAATGGAGCTGCAACTCAAGCGGTAGAGCACTATAGCCTTTAGCACAAAAGATCAGAGACAGTGCCCTAGGACATGCCCAAATAGAGAGCAGGTTCTGAGAGTAAAAAAGAGGAGAAAATGCAAGGGAAGACAGTAAGTGCACACAAGACTGGTTCATGTTCTGAGGGGAGGGAGGGAGGGAGGGAGGAGAAAGCTCAAGCCATGGTCAGGTTGTTGAAGGGAAGACTACTATGATTAGAAAAATGGTCCAGGATCTGAGGAAGTACTCACTTTGAAAGACTGGAAGGAGATGAGAAATCTGAATGACATTTGTAAGTCTCATTAACAAGAAACACTAAAACAAATGCATTTGGTTTCAAGAACATTGCTTAATTTCTATCATCTGCCAAGACTTTCCAACTATTTGACATTTACTCTTGTGTTAAACACTTGTACAAATATAATGTGGGTATGAATTAACTGTACATTGGAACTTCAGACAAAAATTTAAAAATTAAGCCAGGTGCTGGTGGCTTACGCCTGGAATTCTAGCTACTCAGGAGGCTGAGATTTAAGGATCGTGGTTCAAAGCCAGCCTAGACAGGAAAGTCCATGGGAATCTTATCTCCAATTCACCTGAAGTGGTACTATAGCTCAACTGGTGGAGCGCTTGCTTTGAGCTGAAGAGCTGAGGGACGGGCCCAGAGTCCAAGCCCCACAGTCTACCCAGTATTTATTTACTTATTTAAAATACAAAGTCCAGAACAGCACTTGTGTAACTGCCCCACGTATATCATTACAAAGATTTCTGAACTGCAAGCTGTTTGTGAATATACAATGCACGGGTTATAAGGTGACTGTCTAGAGGACAGTGCAGGCTGCACAGAGGATACTGGTGTCAGCCACGAAGCTGATGGCTTCATAGCCGCTATGCAGTGCCACAGTCACTTTCATCAACAGACATGTACGTCCAATTCAAGTTTATTTTTTTTTTGGGGGGGGGGAGGGGGTCCGGTTGTGCGGCCTGAACTCTGGGCCTGGGCGCTGTCCCTCAGCTCTTCAGCTCAAGGCTAGTGCTCTACCACCTGAGCCACATCGCCACTTCCGGCTTTTTTCTTTTTGCTTATATGGTGCTGAGGAATGGAACCCAGGGCCTCAGGCATGCAAGGCAAGCGCTCTACCACTGAGCCACCTTCCCAGCCCCATCAAGTTTATTGTTGGTACTCTACCACTTGAGCCACAGCTCCAATTCTAGTTTTTTGGTGGTTAATTAGACTTTTCTGCCGGAGCTGGATTCGAATTGTGACCCTTGGATCTCCGCTTCCAGACTGGTAGGATTAAGACATCAGCCACCACTGCAGCACCTGGCTGTTACTTTTTTTTCAGCACTACTACAACCGCACCACTGTTACTCTTCTTTAAGAGAAAAGCTTTGTCAAGGTATTATAATCTACAAACCAGAATCTAATTATATTTTAAGTGTGGTTTAATAACTGTGAAAACTTAGTTCATCTCCATAAAAGTGCTCAAGCCCCAATTATCAACTCCAACTCTGCTTTTTTTTTTTCCTGTGGTCACTGGAGCTTGAGCTCAGAGCCTCAGGCTTGCTAGGCAGGCCACCTACCACTTGAGTCACTCCTCTATCCTCTCTTTTCTTTTGCCAGTCCCGGGGCTTGAACTTAAGGCCTGGCCTCTGTCCTTGAACCTCTCTATGCTCAAAGCTAACCTCTACCACTTGAGCCACAGTGCCACTTCTGGGTTTTTCTGTTTATGTGTTACTGAGGAACTGAACCCAGGTCTTCATGCATGCTACTCTACCACTAAGCCACATTCCCAGCCCTTTCTCTTCTCTTTGTTTAAACTAGGGTCTTGCTCTTTGCCAGCCAGGGCAGCTATTTTCTACTTACACTTCCCACATAGCTAAGGACAATAGGTGTACTACCACACAGCACTAGCTTTTTACTGGTTGAGATGGGTCTAGAGAACTTTCTGCCTGTCTGGCCACACACGATGATCCTTCTGATCTCTTCCTTCTGTGTGTGAGCCACATGATACATTTTTAAAGTCTAAAAGTTATTTTAAAACCAGTCTAGACACAGAAATGGAGGGATAAAGGGTGAACAAATGCAACAGTGGTACTCAGTACAGACACTATGTTGAAAATAAATTATTCAGGGCTGGGAAGGTGGCTCAGTGCCTTGCATGCATGAGGCCCTGGGTTCGATTCCTCAGCACCACATAAGCAAAAAGAAAAAAGCCGGAAGTGGTGCTGTGGCTCAAGTGGTAGAGCGCTGGCCTTGAGTTCAGGGCCCATAAATGACAAAAATAAATAAATAAAATAAATTATTCAACTTGTGGGTGGAAATAGGTGGGAAACATTGGGAATTTGAGGGAAGGGGGGATATTGTCCTAAAAGAAACGTACCCTTTAACTGACTTATGCAACAGTAACCTTTCTGCTGTACATCACCTTTATCATAACAATTTAAAAAAATAAAAAATAAAACCAATTTAAAGAAAATGTCATACCCGCCAATATGCCTAAATGCAAAGTTACAATAGGAATTTTCCCCAAACAGGGAATCTGAGCACTAAATCTGAGCACTAAACAATTCTGTTCCCCAAACCAGCACAATTTTCTATCTCTTAGGATCAAAGTCAAATTGCAGGTAGTGAGCACTACAATAAAACACAAAGGAGTGTATCATGAGGGCAGTGTGTTAGGTGAAGGTACCACTACCTGCACCCCGCCCTCCCCACCAAACAAACAACAAAAAAAAAAGATGACTAAAAAGGTTTAACAGGTGATGGAGAACCTGCACAACTGACTAGCTCCAGGAAGGAAAGGGAGAAAGCAGCTCAGACACAGGTAAAGACCACACCTTTGCTGTCCCGTGACAGTCCTCCTGTCCCTGCTCCTTGCCTAGAAAGCTAACCATTCACCAAAACCAGACCCAGGATGCAGCCGTCATTTCCATCTGAGAAGCATAGTACGGAACTCTGAGACAGGAAGGCATACATCAGGGCAATGAAATGATTTCATGTGAGCACAGAAGACACAGCCCTCTGGCTTACCTTTCAATGGGTTGAAGAAGTTGAAGAAGGACTCATTGGGCACCTGTTTAGTAATAGTTCTGACGGTGCCCCGGCCCTTATGCTTCTGCTTTTTCTTGATAGTCTTGACTGTCACATTTTTCCCTTTCTTCCAGTCGATAGTACACCTGCAGAAGCAACACAACTTTTGTGGGTACACTCCAGGGAAAAAACTATGATGCATATAAGGAACAAGCCACAGGTCTATGCTATACCTGGAAAATCTGATATAACTAATTGCTAATCTGAGTACTACATAGTCCCTGAAGTTCATCTGAAGACTGGCTAATGAAACTGGCAGTATTCCCCCCACTCTGGTTGTCATATCTGCCTCAAGTTGTTGGTTGTAGGGCTTGAACTCAGGCCCTTTTTGCTCAACACTGGAGCAGTATCACTTTGAGCTACAGCTCCACTTCTGGTTTTATGGTGGTTAATTGGATGGAGATGGTCTCACAGATGTTCCTGCCCAGGCTGGCTTTGAACTGTAATCCTCAGATCAGCCTCCTGAGTAGCTAGGATTACAGGCGTGAGCCACCATCGACTGGCATAAGCCTCAGACTTCCTAATGACAATGGGCATTATGCTCCCAAGCTGCTCAAGGACTCTCAAACAGGTGAAAAGGACCATTTAGTCAGCACAGTGGAGAGTGGAGTCATCCACTCCCATGTCCTAGATGCCCAGAGGTCAACTGTGTGAGCCAGGCTGCTGTGAACATTGCTGACCTGCCAGGGCAGTCAGGACACCTGCTTCTGACGCACCATCACCTTGCATACAGGTACTCCTGGTGCAGCTAACAGGCTGCTCAACAACACATCTGAAGGAAATAGGCATGTGATGCACATCTGTAATCCTGGCACTCCAGAAGCAGAATTTTAACTTGGAGGCCAGAGTTCCAAGCCAATTTAGACTACAAAGTGAGACCATGTTTCCCAAACCCCAAAAAGACCCAAAACAAAAACAAGGGCTGGGAACATGGCTCAAGTGGTATAATGCTTATCTAGCAAGCATGAGGCCCTGAGTTCAAACCCCAATCCTGACAAGACAAACAAATACAACACCATGAGGCTGGAAAAAGGTTCAAGTCTATAATCCTAGTTACTTAGGAGGCAGAGGTGGGGAGGAGGATTACAGTTCAAGGTTACCCTAGGCAAAAAAGTTACCCCATCTCAACCAACAAGCCAGGTGTGGCAGTAGACACAAAGCATAGACAGGAGGAGATGGTGCTCCAAGGCCAGCCAGGCAAAACATTAAAATCCTGTCTGGAAAATCAATGACAAAGCAAAAATGGCTGGGAGGAGAGGCTCAAGTGGCAGAGTGCTTGTCTATCAAGTGTGAGGCTCAAGTGTTGTAAACACATACACATGTACGTTCACCCAGTTACTTTAGACATTCAAGTTGAGTGGGATTTTAATAAAGCTCTAAACTACTTATTCAGGGAGATTATTTTCAGTGAATAAGAGCAAGTATTTTAATTCAAATATAAACAATTTCCTCTAGTCAAAACCATCCAATAGGAATTGATTCTAAGCTAAATCCCCTCCTTTAGTGGTCTGTGGGGAATGAAATCAACATGGATCAAAATGCAAAGATATTACCAATTTCCAAAGCCACCATCTGATCATACTCCTGACTGGGACTGACCTGCACTGTCTGTTCAGCAAATACGTACTTGGAGGAGCTTCAATTTACAATGTCTAAACCCCAATCCCTGCCCCCCCCCCCCCCCCCACAGAAACCCAATACTGTTCTAAACCTGTCTGAACTGATTTGCATCTTCCCAGGTGCAGACACCCTAGCTACACACTACCTGCTTGCAACTTACTCCAGGACTACATTTAAATCCTGCTAGACTCTTAAGTAGTTCAAGTCTTGCTTACATTATTATTGCTTTATTTTGATTTTCAACCTGCAAGTAAGGGATGACAGGATCGAACCCACCCCACCGAGCTGTATCTTTCCATCTTAAATTCCAATATTATCTCCTGCTTTCTGTTTCAGAAAGACAAGTTAAAAAGACACTTACCCGTCACAGTCCACGATTTCAGGACCTTCAAAGGAGAAGGGATCGGCCTTGTCTGGCTCTGACTTCATCTTGTATGTTTTTGTCAGAACAGGATTAGTAAAGTAGTCATTGGGCTCAAAGTGGAACTCTAACACAAAAGACTAGAGCAGAGAGAACAGTGCCACTTAAAGTCTAAAAATAACTAGCAACAGATTCCACTGGCTATGCTGGAAATCACCACCCACAGCTGAGCCTGCTTTCCCTCTCAGCTCCATCCTCCACCCTACTGGCAAAGCCTAGGGAAGCCTCCGGAGGAGGGTGCAAGAGAAATGAGAGGTTCATTCCTTCTTTTCTTCCACCCTCCCTACAGAGTACTTTCAGAGCACCGTTCAGATCTGAGCAAGAGCAGGTACAAAAAGAAACAAAGAATGTGCACAGATCTGACAGAACGGGGGGGGGGGGGGGGGGGGGAAGGGTGGAGGTGGGGGGGGGGGGAAGCTAGGCACTGGTGGCTCATGCCTGTAATCTAGCTAGCTACTCAGAAGGCTGAAATTTGAGGATCAGGGTTCAAAGTCAGCGCAGGCAGGGAAGTCTGAGACTCCTATCCAATTAATGACAGAAAAAAACGAAAATGGTGCTGTGGTTCAAGTGATAAGAGTGTTAGCCTTGAGCAAAAAGTGCACAGGGATGGTGCCCAGGCCCAGAGTTCAAGCCCCAAGACCAGCAAAACAAAACCAAACAAAAAATCCTAATACCTAACGCTAAGCACTAGTGGCTCACAGCTGTAATCCTAGCTACTAGGAAGCTGAGATCTGAGGATTGATTTGAGGTTCAAAGCCAGCTCAGGCAGGAAAATCCATGAGACTCTTCTCTCCAATTAATCATCAAAAAGCTGGAAGTAGAGTTGTGATTCAAGTGATAGAGACAACACTCGTCTTGAGCAAAAATGCTGAGAGAGCGCACCCAGGCCCTGAGTTCAAACCCTAGTACCAGTACCCCAAAACTGCCCCTACTACAACAACAAAAAACCACCACTCAACTCTCAAGTTACACCATAAGGTATAAAAGTACTGTGTAGGGCTAGTCAGCCCACTGGGATATAGAGAATTCTCTCAGGTGATAACCAGATTTATAAAGGGCCAAGTGGTAGTATCCAAAGTTAGCAAGATTACAAGTTAATTCCATTCTGAAGAATCTGTTTTATCTGAGGAAACTAAGCAAACTATGGGGATGCATGCATTAATGTGCAGATTCTTCCTTAGCCCTATTTGTAAGGAGAAAATTAAAAATGAGCTCGGTTAAGTCATTTAGAAAGAGGGTTCACAAGACTGACTGGACTTGATTGCCCCTGCTGGTGCCCACGCTGCTGGGTCTCTCTGTGAGCTTCTGAGTACTTTTTGTGCTTTAGGCTCTCCTCATATGAACACTGCAAGAATGATGGTTTGTGAAGGATGAGGCCTGGAGAGCCCATCCACTAGAAACAAACCATCAACCGAAGGGAAATTACAAGACTAACTATGTGACTAGCTAAACAAACCACTTCCCCAGAAGAGAAAGAAAAATTCTGGGAAGGAAGGTGAGGAGGTGAGGATGCAGGCTTCGGGTTGGGACTGAGTGTGCCAGCAACTGCTGGACCCCAGCAAGCAGCTGCAGAGACCTGCATGAGGACAAGGCACCAAATGCATGACAACTCTTGGTCCTTCACTGCTCTCAGCGTTGGTGCAGGTATAGGTAGGGTTATTTTCTCCTTTCCCTACCTCCCTTTCTAGATGGTTCTGAGTCTAAATTTGGGCCTTGCATTTCCAGGCAGGTGTTCTACTTGGGCCACATCCACAGCCTTCCTTTTCCTACACTCCTCAGGTTTTCCTATCTTCATCCACTCTGACTTTGTTTCATAAAAGTAATCTAAAATAAGCTGGGACTGTGGTTCAAGTAATAGAGTACCAGCCTGTCATCAAACCCCACCACTGCCAATAAACAAACAAACCCCATTTACCATTTCTACTCCAAGTACTCACTCCATGCCTCCTGTATATTGCAAATCCCCAGTTACTGGGGAGTAAGGGTTATTTGTGAATATTCAGGGTTAGAGGTATGGTCCAAGTAGTAGAACACATGCCTAACTGAGTCCCTGAATACAAACACCAGAAACCATCACCACTGAAGAAAAAAAAAAGGTAACCTCAAAAACCTGAAGACAGCCAGACACCAATGGCCCACACCTGCAATCCTAGCTACTCAGGAAACTGAGAACTGGGGATCATGGCTCAAAGCCAGGCTTGGCAGGAAAGTCCATGAGACACTTATCTCCAATTAACCACCAGAAAACCAGAAGTAGAGCTGTGGCTCAAAGTGGCAGAGCTCTAGTCTTGAGCAAAACACTCAGGTATAGCACCCAGGCCCTGAGTTCAAGTTCCACAATAGACAGACAGACAGACTGAAAGAAAGAAAGAGAGAGAGAGAAAGAAAAAGAGAGAGCGGATTACTTCACTGCCAAGCAGAGATAAGGTAAGGTTGCCTTGTGTAAGTAGGACACACGTACACACACACCCTAGTCCAGTACACACTCAACTGTGAAGATTTTTTAATGCAGTTGTCACTGTTGCCAATGCTCATGCTAAGAATAACTCTCACATATAAACCCATGGTTAAGAGTGGACAGAAGAGCAGGGGGAATGTGGAAGTGGTCTTAGTTGCTACAATTCTGCTCTAGATTTGGAATTATTTCAAACTACAAGGTCAAAAAGTTTACTAGTATAAAGAAGTGTGGAAAAGTACTGCTAGCTAGAACATAATACTGCCAGCTAGGGCCTTGTACAGATACACGTCCAAGAAGCTGAACTAGGAAATTAAGCACAATGCAGGCATTGACTACACCCCAGTATGCCCATCATGATGCCATCATTAGAATAGCCACAAGTTGGTAGCATATATGGAAACTATGGCCAGGAACACAACTTAAACTTGTACAATGAAGCCAAGTGCTGGTGGCTCACACCTGTAATCCTAGTTACTCAGAAGGCCAACATTTGAGGATCGCAATTTGAAGCCAGCCAGGGCAAGAAAGTCAATGAGACTCTAAAGTAGAGCTGTTGAGTAAATGGTAGAGTACTAGCCTTGAGTACCAAAGGCCAGGGACAGTGCTCAGTGAGTTCAAGCCCCAGGACTAGCACAAAACAAAAAGCTTGTGTGATAGAACTTTGTGATCATGCTGTGTGTGCTGGTAGGTAGTTTCTGGTCAAGAGATGTCCCCAGAGGATGTCTGCTGCGTGTTCCAGTGCTAGAACTCATGACTAGAGTGCTATCCTTTAGCTTTTCTCATTAATGGCTGATTCTCTACAGCTGAGCCATACCTACAGTTCTGCCTTTTGCTAATTAAGGAAGTAAGAGTCTACTGAACTTTTCTGCCTGGGCTAGTTTCTTATCCTTATCTTCAAATCGGCCTTCTAATTAGCTAGGATTACAGGCTTGTGCATAGAAAAGCAGGTGGCTTTTATAAGGGGAAAGAGGAAAGAACTAGGTTTTGGTCTACAAGGTGTGAGCAGAAGACAACAGTGGTTGAAAGGGGAAGACAAATGGCCCCAGGAAATCATGAAACAAGTATGCAGTAAAAACAGTAAAAGCAAATGTTAAAATGAATGAAAATAAAGAAGGGGGAAAAAATGGAAGATACAAGGGAAAATGTATGTATCAAATGTAAAAAGTGCAGATCACAATGAACACTCCCTCTGCATACAACAAATGTCTGCTAGTTCAAAACTAAAATTCAAAGTAGAAAGAAGTGAAAGCCAAAACCACACAGAATCTTGAAGATGAGCCACTGCTATTCCCCTCCCTCCAGGATTTGAGATAGCAAAGCTCCACACTGGACTCCACCCACTAACTATGTACCTGGGGCTCTGAGACACGGAGGGAGGTAAAGATCTGCGACTCTCAGCCCCAAGATCTCTACCTCCCAGCCCCTCTGGACATGTCCCCAAGACCTGAAACTGACAGCCACCAGTCAGACAATCAGTCATGTGTCACTGGAAATGCTGTAGCACTGGAATGGAACCCACCAACCACAGCCAGCCAGGCTGACAGGTTACGAACAGTGCTCCTGAAAACCAGGCTTAGGCCCAGCAGTCATTTCTCCTGGGTAAGGTAAGGCTTATCTCCCCAAATGACAGGCAGGCCTACTCACTCATGCAAACTAAGGGGTGGGAAGGCATTTCCAATCTTTCCTACAGTTTTCTTTCCTCGGCGTCCTGAATGAAAGCAATGCTCGTATTTGTGTACATACTTTCACCACTCTTTCACCCTAGCTCTGAGATGGGGCCTCCTATGATGCACACCCAGGCTAGTCTTGACCTCATGTGCTCGTCATCTTCCCAAGTAGCTGAGATTCCAAGCACTCAGCACCACATGTGGCAACCTCCCATATCTTTAAAACTGAACATTTCTATCCACTATGTGTAAACCTGTGAGATACCTAGGAAATGTACAGCATTACCACCATCTAATGATGACACACAAAGGCACCACCACAGCTCAGGCTGAACCCAGGCCCTGTGCCACATGTCCACAGCATGTCTACATGGCTAACTGTCCAGGCTCCCAAGCACAGTGCTGAGTACTGCTTCGAGCCACCTAGCACTAGCACTGAGTGCCAAGAACAGGTTTTTCTGCCCTCAGCTCCAGTTCGCTAGCCAACAAGCATGATAGTACTCACCATGGGCTGTCCAGGGGCCGAAAATTTTACTTTAATATCTTGCAGGTGTTTCAAGATTGGTTCATCATATTCCTAATCAAAAAGAAAAAAAAAAAACCCAGGGTTTTAAAAAGATCACAGTTGCTATGTTCGCATGCATTCTTGCCCTTTGCCAAGGAATAACTTCAGCAACTCAGACGTCTACTAACCATGTGGTCTTTGGGTGGCAGAAATAATGTATCAACTACCATGTGTCATCTGTTTCTGCCTAGCACAGTGGTAAACATCAACACCTGCCTCCAATGCCATCACCTGCCACCAAGCAAGACAACATATCTGGCCTTTTGCACCCAAAGAAACAGAGAAGAATGCCAGAAATCAGAAAAGATGAGTAAATCAATTGCCAACCATGATAGCCAGTGTCCCCTGCTGTGGCAATCAACACCCTGATTCCACAGTATATAGTCATTCCACAAGAACATACAGCAAGCGTGCAGCCTAAAGGAGATTTCAGCTCATATGTAACTGTATGCTTATAACTGTCCTTATTCCAATCTACTGTTTGTCAGAATCTCTAATTTTATTCTTTTTATTAGTTGTGGGGCATAAACTCAGGGCAGGGGCTCTGTCCTTTAGCCTCTTTGTGCTCAAGGCTAATGCTCTACCACTTGAGCCACAGCACCACTTCCAGCTTTTGAGTGGTTAATTGGAGGTAAGAGTCTCAATGCGAATTTTCTGCCCAGGCTGGCTTAAACAGAGCAGCCTCCTGAATAGCTAGGATTATAGGCATGAGGCACCAGGGTCTGGCAGTATCTGTAATTTTAGAGTCCAGTAAGAAAAAGCAGGAGAGGGCTGGGAATGTGGTCTAGTGGTAGAGTGCTTGCCTAGCATGCACAAAGCCCTGGGTTCAAGTCCTCAGTACCATATATACAGAAAAAGCTGGAAGTGGCACTGTGGATCAAGTGGTAGCGCTCTAGCCCTAAGCAAAAGAAGCTCAGACAGAGCCAGGCCCTGAGTTCAAGCCCCCGGACTGACAAAAAAAAGAAAAAGAAAAAGCAGAAGAGATGGAGCTGGGAAGGTGGCTCAGTGGTAGAGCGCTTGCCTTGCATGCATGAGGCCCTGGGTTCAATTCCTCAGCACCAAATAAGCAAAAAGAAAAAAGCCGGAAGTGGCATTGTGGCTCAAGTGGTAGAGCTCTAGCCTTGAGCTGAAGGACAGGGCCCAGGCCCATAGTTTAGGCCCCACGTCCCGACCTCCCTACCCCTCCCCCCCAAAAAAAAAGCAGAAGAGGAAAGAAACCCAAATTCTCATTATGATGTGTTAGCAGACAGGTGCTTCATTTGCAACATGGAGTTACTTTTGTTTTCCCAGTCCTGGGGCTTGAACTCTGGGCCAGGGCACTGTCACTGAGCTTTTTTTGCTCAAGGCTAGCACTCTACCACTGGAGCCACAGCACTACTTCCAGCTTTTTCTGAGTCATTGATTGGAGATAAGTCTCACAGACCTCCTGCCTGGGCTGGCTTTGAACCACAATCCTCCTGTCTTAGCCTCCTGAGCAGCTAGGATTACAGGTGTGAGCAACTAGTGCCTGGATAATTGAGTTACTTCTTAACCCTAAAGTCTAGCACTAGACTGAAGAATTTCTTGAGGTTCTACGAAGAACTGGTCTGGTAACTGTCACCTTCCAACTTTAAGCTTTTTTAATGTTTTGTTCTAGAGATACCTAGCTCAAACTGGGAGTAGACATGCTTTGTGGCTTAACTCCTGAAGCATTAACATGGTGGCATGAGAAAAATGAAAAAGCCACCCCAGTAAAATACAGCAACTCTCCAAAGCCAAGGCAATGGATGCACAAGAAGCTTCCTTGAGCCTGTGCTGCCAGAGCAGGCCAGGCAGCCACAGGTACAGAGTGGCACCAGGAGCAAGCCATTGTTGAAGCCCCACTTCACTACTCCTTGCTCCACTCAAAGGGGGTCCCAACTAGGAGTGTGGGCACCGGCCAGGGGCACACCAAGTCCCACATAATCATACAGCAAGTCTTAGAAGACCAATAGCGAATCCTTCTCTGTTCTCCTGAATGGTTTTTCAACCCTTGGAGCATATTAGAATCATCTGAGGAGCTTCTTAAAATACATAGAGGGAGGTGGGCACCAGTGGCTGATCACGCCTGTAATCCTAGCTACTCAGGAGGCTGAGATCTAAAGACCATGGTTCAAAGCCAGCCTATATAGGGAAGTCCATGAGACTCTTATCTCCAATTAAACACCAGAAAACCAGAAATGGAGCTGTGGCTCAAGTAGTAGAGCACTAGCCTTGAGCTGAAGAGCTCAGGGACAGTGCCCAAGGCCAGAGGTTCAAGCCCCATCACCACCACCACCAACAACAAAAACACAGAGGGCTGGGGTAGAAAACTTCGTGTGAGGTCTGAATTCCATCTCCAGCACAGAAAACAACAAGCAAGCAAGCAAACAAAACAACCAAACAACCCTAACTAAACACAAAACAGTGACAGCAGGCATGGTGGTACACATCTTAGGTCAAGACAGGGAGGACTGTCAATTTGAGGCCAACCTGGGCTACACAGTCTCAACAAGGAAAAACAAAACTCAAAGATGTCTCACTGTCTTGGTGTTTCGCTGTGTAACTACCCTAAAAGCCACTCTATTAACTGTAACATACAATTAGAGGATACAGTTCACTCATCAGGAAAAGCAGATTTATTTTAGCTGCCTCCCTGGTTTGGAAGCGAGTAAGAAACACACTGTGCTTCTCATCACTTTTTCTTCTTCTTGTGATACTGGGTACAAAGCCCAGGGCCTTCAGCACGTTAGGCAAATGCCCCACCACTGAGCTGTATACTCATCTCCTGCCTACATCCTTCATTCAGGTTTTGGCTTAGAATGGAAAAGCAAGTAGGTAGTGAAAATGCTGCATGGCAAATTTCTGAAAATCACAAAAATGTATTTGTAGTCTTGTGGAGGTAAATCACAGCTCAACTGTTTGAAAGGGACAGTGGTTTTGTTTTGTGGAAGACAGGTAATGAGATTCAGGGCAGGATTTCTCCTGTATCATACAACTTAATTTGATCCATTCCTTAAAAAAAAGGAAAACAAAACTAAACAGACCTTTTCAAGGCAGAAAACATTAGCAACATACTTTGTGTTGCACAACATACTTAGCACAACAAGACTGTACCAAACCCACTTGAAAACATACTAAGAAGCAAGCAGGTGTGTACACACACAGAGTGCTCCCCCACTGCACCAGATACCCCTTGCTGTCCTTAGGCTCCTTGCTGCTCACCGTAGAAGGGCGATGCCTGCAGGAGAAGCGCTAGACATCTACAGGAGGTCCAACACAGACATACTGGGAACTGACTCACACCAGATCAGACTGAATTGCCAGCCCTGTTCCAAGAGCTGCAGAAGAGCAGAAGGTCTGGAGAGCAAAGTTCCCTTCTCTGGGGTCAAGACTGTCACCCAAGCACCTGTCCTAAGAATCACCCTTCCACTCACTCCCAAAGACCTTTGGGCACCCAGGTAAGTGTGTGTGAGTGAAAGCACAGGGCAGTCACTTCGGAAATCTGACAAGGGAGAAGCTGCCCACCTGTACGAGCTCACTGAGCATGTCCACGTTTCTGAAGATGGTAAACCAGAACTCTGGAATTCCTTTGGGATTTGGCTCTTCTGCTGCTGCTTCTTCTTTTTCAGCTATGGCTACTTTACTTTTCATGTCTCCCTACAAAATACAGATGGCAAGATAGAATAGCTACCTCAAAAATACCAGTACCTTTAGTCAATTATCAGACCAACATCATCTCAGTTGCCTTCACATAGTTCTTCTGGGCTGGATCTCCAAACCATGGAGGGGAAAACATTCAAGGCACTGCACTTAGGCCCAACTCCATAATCAACTGAGACTGCAAACATCAGCAACCTTGGGAAAAGTTGTCTGCTGCTGGCTTAGTGAACCTTCTGTCCCTGATGAGAACCAGGCCCCTGTATCAGTCTCAAGACTGACACATGTAGGAGCTCATCTGTAATTCCAGCACTTAGGATGCAGAGGCAAGATTGAGTTCTAGGCCAGCTGGGGCTACACACCAAAGCTCTGTCTCAAAGACAAAAAGCCTAGTTCAAAGATGATTAAAACCACTTGAACTAAGCATAAAACTCTATGACTTTGGGGTTAAAATGTGTGTAAGGAGGGAAGGTGGTGGGATTAAAAACTGCTTCAGGCTGAGTGCCAGTGCTCATGCCTATGATTCTACCTACTCAGGAGGTTGAGATCTGAAGATCATGGTTCAAAGCCATCCCAGGCAGAAAAGTCCATGAGAAAGTTATCTCCAATTAACCACCAAAAAGCTGGAGGTATGGCTCAAGTGATAAGGAGCACCACTCTTTTGAGTGGAAAAGCTAATGGACGGCACCCAAGCCCTGAATTCAAGCCCCAATAATGGTGTGTGCATGCATGCCCATGCGTGCGTACGGCTGAGTTTGTGGCTAGCAAGCAATAGTTCATGAGTTCGGGGCTGGGAAGGTGGCTCAGTGGTAGAGTGCTTGCCTTGTATTCATGAGGCCCTGAGTTCCATTCCTCAGCACCACATACAAAGAAAAAGCCAGACTCAAGTGGTAGAGTGCTAGCCTTGAGCTAAAGAGCTGAGGGACAGCACCCAGTCCCAGAGTTCAGGCCCCATGACCAACAACAAAAAAAGTTTATGGTGAGTTCAAACCCCAGTAATGGGGGAAAAAATGCAAAAAAGAAAAAAAAAAGAAAAATAGTATATCCAGACTGACAAAGTTAACCTTATGGCAGGGTGAGGCTTCCCATACACTGGAACAGAATGGCCAATAAAGGTGAATAGAACAAGTCACAATGCCGACCCTTCCTTCGCTTACCTATCTCCAGACATGCCATGGCTAAGCAGCTAGTCTCCAGATGCCACCTGCCCATAGGCCCCAGCTCCCAGTCACTGAGGGCAGCATGCAGCTGCCACCCAGGCTAACTTCACTTGGGGTGCTATCAATCTGTGCTCACCCAGCTCTGTGTTGAGACAGCGAGGGGGGCTGTGGCTCCCCCTCGCTTGTCACGGTGAGCAACAGCACTGCCTAAGATAGCATCTCTCTAGTGAGAGACCCAACTGCCCCACACCAAGGGGACAACCTGCCAAGAAGTGCTTCATTGCTGCAGAGGATTGTTTTGTTTTTAAGATCTTTTTATTAGCATACTAATTATACAAGGGGAGAGTTTTGCTGGACATCTCCATACCTGCATACTATAGATATACACCCATTATCCACACCTTTCCCCTAGACTTTCTCTTTCCTAAAGCAATTACAATGTTGTGTTTTCATACATGCAAATAAAGTTCTTGGACTAATCACCCTCATGCACTTTCCTCTCTGGAAAGTTCTATTGATGATTTAGTTGCTGATTTCTAAAGTAACAAGTCACACTTAAACTTACAGCCAACTTGTCCTCCTCCTCATTCTCACTGTGCCACTCTGACTCTGCATCTGTGGGTTCCACGTCACCAGTGATGAATTCTCTTCTCTGTACCAAAGTGAGACTGCATTAGAATTTTAGGTTATCTGGAAACTCAAGAGGTAACATGTATATATATACTGTCTCCGACAAGTTCCTGGGTAATGTGGTATTAAATGCACTCGACAGTATCCCAACCTTGTCTTTTGGGGTCCGGTCGTGGGGCCTGAACTCTGGGCCTGAGCGCTGTCCCTTAGCTCTTCAGCTCAAGGCTAGCACTCTACCACTTGAGCCACAGCACCACTTCCAGCTTAGTATCCCACCTTGTCAAACAGAGGCTGGTAGAGTGCAGCATACTTCCGCTCAAGGTCGTGGACTTCCTCGTAGAACTTGGCTTCTATGTGTGCGCACCTCACCTGCAGCTGTTTCAAAGCATTGATTCTCCTTTTGACTGCTTTGGGTAAGCTAGAAGAGGAACAAGGAATAATACATATTTATGTCAATAATACAACATAAATTTAGACAAGCAGAAAAGAACTCTCAAAAATTGTTGAAAAAAGAACAAAAAGGCTGACACTGCTGGTTCACAGCTGTAATCCTACAAACTAAGGAGGCTGAGATCTGAGGATCACAGTATAAAATCAACCTGAGTAGAAAATCCATGAGACTTATTTTTTTGGGGGGGGAGGAGGGGGGTCAGTCCTGAGGCTTGAACTAAGAAGCCTGAGCATTGTCCCTGATCTTCTTTTGCTCAAGGCTAGCACTCTACCACTTGAGTCACAGCACCACTTCTGGCCTTTTCTGTGTCTGTGGTACTGAGGAATCAAATCCAGGGCTTCATGCATGCAAGGCAAGCACTTTAATCCCAGTCTAGGACCATGCAGGGCCACGTGGAAATCCTCATGCAAAGACACTGAAGTGGGAAGTTTCTGTTGTAGAGTTTAAAACTTTTCTCATGTGTATGGAGAATTTCTAACATCAGAAGAAAAAAAATTAACCCATAAAAATGATTTTTTGAAAATAAAGCCCTTTCGCCAGTGGCTAATGCCTGTAAACCTACTCAGGACATTGAGATCTGAAGACTGAGGTGTAAAGCCACCCTGTGTGGAAAAGTCCTCAAGACTCGATCTCTAATCAACCAGCAACATATTGAACTGTGAGTATAGTTCAAGTGAAAGGCCCTGAGCTGAAGCCCAGGTACCAGCACTGAGAGATGGGATGGACACGATGAAGAATGGACAGACTCCCCACCTACATCAGACACAAATATCCACTGGGGTAGGTGGAGTCCTATGTCTTCCACACTGTTAAGGACAATAGAATGTTAGGAGGAAAGGCCGCACTGTCCAAGGGCATTATTCACTTCACATGCGCACACAACCTGCTCCTTAGTCCCACAGTTCCTCTCAGTGAACAATGCTTACCTTGCCCACTGCCATGGTCAGAAAACCAGAAACCATCATTCACACACTACGCTTTCCATCTCCACTGCAGCATCACTACATCCTATCAACTTAAGTTTGCAAAACCTTCCCCACTACACATGACATCTTGGATTCAATCCCCAAATACTTCTCCTTAAAACAAATATCCCAAAGCCCTACCTACTAAGTGGTCCCCAGAGAATACTCTGCCCTCTCCCACTTTATCTGTCCTGGGGAACACTAAAGACCCAACAGTAGGACTTGTGTGAAGTCAAGACTTAATCTGAAGCTGGGCGCCGGTGGCTCATGCCTGTAATCCTAGCTACTCAGGAGGCTGAGATCTGAGGATTGCGGTTCAAAGCCAACCTGGGCAGGAAAGACCGTGAGACTCCTATCTCCAATAAACCACTAGAAAACCGGAAGTGGCGCTGTAGCTCAAGTGGTAGAGTGCTCGCCTTGAGCTGATGAGCTGAGGAACAGCGCCCAAGCCCAGAGTTCAAGCCCCATGACCACCACGACCACCACCACTACCACCACCACCACCAACAACAACAAAAAAGACTTAATCTGATTGTACATGGAAGCCCAGCAATGCCTCCTCCATTCCAGAGGAAGGAAGGCTCTGAGAGGCACCATCCATCCTAAAATAGGCATCTCTTCATTTCCAATGTGCAGCCACGCAGGGACATAAGCGAAGTGAAGTGTGTAACAAGTGAAGGTGTTACCAAGATAGAGAAAACACTCCCAGAATTCATATGGAGCCCTACAACCAAACAAATCTGGGCAAAAAGAGCAATGCTGGATGTATAACAATTCCAGACCCCAAACTTTACAACAGAGTTATAATAAACAGCCTGATACTAGCAAAAGAAAAAAAAAAAGCCTGAAGACCAATGGAATAGACTAGAAGACCCAGAAATAAAGCCATATACTTACAGCCATCTGACATTTGACAAGAAATCCAAATAATATGTTGGAAAAAAGACACCATCTTCAACAGATGGTGTTGGGACAACTGGACATCCACATATTGAAGAATGAAACTGGATTCCTATCTGCCACCTTGCACTGATTTCAACTCAAAATGGGTCAAAGGACCTCAACATAAGAGCCAAACCTTGAAACAACTACAGGAAGGAAGAGGAGAAACATCACAACTTATTGGTATAAGCAGGAACTTTCTGAGTAGAGTTCTAGGAACTTAGTCAGCAAATCAAGAGACTTGACAAATGGGACTGCATCAAGCTTAAAGTTCTGCACAGCAGGACAAAGTTACTAAATTAAAAAGACTGCCTACAGAATGGAAGAGCTTTACTAGCTATATATCTAATACGGGCCTAATATCTAGAATATACAAGGAGTTCAAGAAACCAAACTACCCCCCAAAATCAATACCCCAATTAATAAAATAGGCAAAGGAACTAAATAGAGGCTTTTCAGAAGCAGCAAGAATGGCCAAAAAACATATAAAGAGTCAGGTGCTGGTGGCTTACACCTCAATCCCTAAACAGGAGGCTGAGATCTGAGGCTTGTGGTTCAAAGTCAGCCTGAGCAAGAGAGTACATCTCTTTATCTCTAGTTAATTACAGAAAAAGCTGGAAGTGGTGCAGTGGCTCAAGTGGTACAGTGCTAGCCTTGAACAAAAAGCTCAGGGACAAAACACAGGCCCAGAGTTTAAGACCCAGACCAGCATCAAAGAAAAGGAAGGAAGGGGGGCTGGGAAGGTGGCTCAGTGGTAAAGCGTTTGCCTTGTATGATTGAGGCCCTGGGTTCGATTCCTCAGCACCCATAAGCAAAAAAAAAAAAAAAAAAAAAAAGCTGGACGTGGCGCTGTGGCTCAAGTGGTAGAGTGCTAGCCTTGAGCTGAAGAACTGAGGGACAGCACTCAGGCTCAGAGTTCAGGCCCAAGACCGGACCCAAAATAAAACAAAAACAAAAAAAGAAAAGGGAGGGAGGGAAGGGGGGGGAGGGAGGGGCAGGGAGGGGGAGGGGGGAGGGAAAGAGGGAAAAAAGAAGTAAAATAAACATGAAGAAATGTTCAACATCCCTGGCCAACAAAGGAGGAGGCAACAGTGCTTGATAAGAAATGTACTCATTATCTTGCCCATGTAATTGTAACCCCTCACAAAAAAAAAAAAAAAAAAAAAAAATCCCTGGCCATAAAAGAATTGCAAATCAAAACAATACAGAGATTCCACCCTACCCTAGTAAGATTGGCCAGCATCAACAACCTGAACAATAATAAATGTCGGCAGGAATGCTGGAGGCGGTGGGGGTTGGGGGTGGGAACTCTATTACCACTGTTGGTGGGAATGGGACTGTAGACTAGTGCAAACACTCTGGAAGGTGGTTTGGAGATTTCTCCAAAAATGAAATATAGAGCGTCCCTATGACGCAGCTCTGGGCATCTTCCCAGAGCTTTGCAGGTCAGGATATGGTAAAGACACATCCACGTTCACTGTTGCATGACAGCCAAGTTATGCAAATAGGCCAGATGCCCTACAATGAGAGGCTGAGGCAGGAGGATCAAAGCCCAGGGTCTGCATGGCTACAAAGAGACCTCGTCACAAAAACAACCACCAATGACTGGTCCATTGCCAAGAATTACCTGCATGAAGGAGCCAAGGCAAAACTTTGCAGTGAAGTTAAGAGCCAGTCAATACTCTGTGTTCTGCTAATGCTGATGACATGTAAATTCTCTACCCTGCCACAGGATGGCATTGTGTACCACGTAGCAGCCATGAAGGATCCATTCAACACTCCTTCCACTAACAGGCAATCTCAACCCAAGCCTGGGGCCAGGAAGTTTGGTCGTTGGGTCCTAGAGACTGGCCTCACAGGCAATGTCTCTTCTATGTAAGACTTTGTTGGTAAAGAGACATCTATTGTATTAACAGCACACTTACGTTTCAATGTAGCTGGAGGGAGTGTGAGAGACATTTTCAAGTCGTTCCTGTAAAGCTGCCAAAACTTGTGGATTCTGCATCACCTGATCCGTGAGCTTTTCTGGTAAAAATCAAAAACATGACCAGAAATATAAATGTACATCCAACACACTCAATGCCAGGAGTTGAAAAATTACTAGCATGTATCTACATAGCTTTGCTTAGCTAGTAATTTCTAAATATAGCAAAAGAATCTGTGTGGAAAATAGCAATTTTATCTTAGAAACATATCATATTCATCATCTGATACCTAGAAATTCTGAGTTCTCCTGTTACTGTAAGCTCCAATCTCACAACTAAGGTGTTCAGGTGATCAAGTTCAGGTGAGCCATCTCTGATTATCTCCCTCTCTACAAATCCAAAAGTGGTGTTTCAGAACCCAAGGACAAAAATGAGATTAGCTTCTCAAAGTAAAATGGCATCTCTCAGCATAGAACCTTACTTCTTCTTGGTCTAAAAAGACCATTTTCACCAGCTCACTGCATCATACTTTCAAGCTTCTTTTTCAAGTGCTGCTTGCCTCTCCTTGGAAAGTCATTCCCAAGTCTACCTCCTCTTTGAAGTATTCCTGACCATCACACTCCTGACAGCTCCCTCCCACCTCTGTAATGGACTTACTGTGTTGTACTTTATTGTTTCCAACAAGTCTCATGGACTTTCCTACCTAGGCTGGTTTTGAATCGCAATCCTCAGCTCTCAGCCTCCTGAGTAGTTAGGATTACAGGTATGAGCCACCAGCGCCCGCTCTCTTACTGCTTTTAGTGTCTGAACTTCCAACCATAAAAACATTACTTGATAGGGTATCAATGTTCCTCTTACTGTAACTTTCCTCAAATCTTCAAAGGATAGAAATCTTTTATTAGGGGCTGGGAAGGAGGCTCAGTGGTAGAGCGCTTGCCTTGCATGCATGAGGCCCTGGGTTCAATTCCTCAGCACCACATAAGCAAAAAGAAAAAAAAAAGCTGGAAGTGGTGCTATGGCTCAAGTGATAGAGTGCTAGCCTTGAGCTGAAGAGCTGAGTGACAGCGCCCAGGCCCAGAGTTCAGGCCCCATGACCAGACCCCCCCAAAAAAACAAAAAACTTTTTTTTTTGTCAGTTGTGGGGCCTGAACTGTCCCTCAGCTCTTCAGCTCAAGGCTAGTGCTCTACCTCTTGAGCCACAGCGCCACTTCTGGCTTTTTGTTTATGTGGTGCTGAGGAATCGAACCCAGGGCCTCATGCATGCAAGGCAAGCAATCTACCACTGAGCCAACCTCCCAGCCCCCCAAAACAGAAATCTTTTATTAGTATTATCACTATCTCCAGGAAGAAAGGCCTGCTCTACACACATCCTCCAATGCTGTTGCATGTGGGTGGACTGACCTGTGTTATTTGCATTTTTTGCAGCTTCCACGGAATCTGCAGGAGCTCCATCTGAAAAACTAAAATGTTTAAAAAGTGTATTGTCAAGGAAAATTCCAAAGACTAATACAAAGAGCCATTTTCCTTATATAGCATATGAAGAGGGATCTACAGTGACTTCCCATTGGGTGGGAGATAACACTGACATGAGTGTGTGGAGATTTCCCCTCTATTCTGAAGGACTACCTACCACCAAGCATGCCCTTCCCCAACACACAGTGTGCAAGTATGTTTTAATTTCTATAGCCTCTTTTCTCATAATCTGCTCCCAGACCTCAAACCAAACCAATCAGCCAGCCAACAGCTCGTACAAGCAGCCTGTGTAGTAGACAATGGCCACAGCACTCTAAACAGCAGAGAGAAAGTATTTTCAAAAAACAGTAAACTCAGCCAGACACCGATGGCTCATGCCTAGCTACTCAGGAGGCTGAGAGCAGTTCCAATCCAGCCCAGGCAGAAAAGTTCAAGAGACTCATCTCCAATTAAGCACTAAAAAGCCGTTAAGTAGAGATGTGTCTCAAGTGGCAGAGTGTTAGCCTTGAGGGAAAAAAAAAAAAAGCTCGGAACAGCACCCAGGGCTGGGTTCAAGCCCCAGGACTGGCTAAGATCTGAGCATTGCAGTGTAAAGCCAGCCACGGCAAGAAAAGTCTGTGACACTCTCAACTTCCAATTTATCACCAAAAAGCCAGTAAAAGCTGTGGCTCAAGTGATAGAGTGCCAGCCTTGAACAAAAAAGGGACAGAGCCCAGATTCTGAGTTCAATAAAGGTGTACACACACAATTTATAAAAGCAAACATCAGAGAAAATAGAAAACTAACAATGAGTGCCTAAAGAGGCCGAGATCTGATAATCATGGTTCAAAGCCTGCCCGGGCAGGAAAGTCCTTGAGACTCTTATCTCCAATTAACCACCAGAAAACCTGAAGTGGTGCTATGGCTCAAGTGATAAGAGTGCTTGCTTCGAGCTGAGGGACAGCGTCCAGGCCCAGAGTTCAAGCCCCATGACAGACAAAAAAACAAAAACAAAAAATAACTATGACCTTGACCACTGGGATGAGCCACCTCAAATGATGTGACTTCCCTGGGTGGGGGTTCTGAGACTAAGGGCTGGGAAGCATTAATGATGGCTTTGGTCTGCTAGTATCAACATCTGAGATACTATTCATGAAAGCTATTTCTTCACCAGCTCAGATAATACAGGAAAACAGAGTTTTCATCTAGACCTTGAGTGAATTTAACTGGTAAAAGTTTACTGAAAGATACCTTGGCTCTCAGTATTTTTAGTAGTAGTGGGGTTTGAACTCAGGGCCTCCTGCTTGTTGCAGGCACTCTACCACTTGAGCCAGTCTATCAGCCATCATCCTCTAAATTCCATATATACAAAGCCCACTTTGGCTTACCTGTTATCTGCCATCGGAATGCTTTATCTCCTACAAAAGAAAAAGAAATGAGAATCATATTCACAAAGAAAACAGCTGTTCAAGCTGGGCGCGGATGGCTCATGCCTGTAATCCTAGCTACTCAGGAGGCTGAGATCTGAGGATCGCAGTTTCAAAGCCAGCCTGGGCAGGAAAGACCTATCTCCAATAAACTACCAGAAAACCGAAGTGGCGCTGTAGTTCAAGTGGTAGAGTGCTCACCTTGAGCTGAAGAGCTTGAGGGACAGCGCCCAGGCCCAGAGTTCAAGCCCCACAACCAACAAAAAACAAACAAAAAACAACAGCTGTTCATACTTAACAGTAACACCGTCTGGGGGCATAGAAATGAACTAAATGGGCAACAGAGACCTTACCTGGCTGAAGGAAGTGTCCCAGATTTTGCCTGAGTTTACTTGGGTACACGTATTATTCAAAGCTCATTAGCATGCACTCAAGGTCTATGCATTTCATTATGTAACAATTTTATTCTTAATAATCTCTTGTTGACACCAAAGAACAATTCTTGCTTTATATCCAATGAATTCGAAAACAGAAACACATAGTATGGTAGGTCTAGTTATTTTAGAGCAATCTGAAAGCATTTACTGATGTTTACATTGCTTTTTTTCTTTTGTGCCAATACTAGGCTTGAACTCAAGGACAAATGCTCACTTGGCTTTTTCACCCAAGACTGGTCCTCTCTTCCGCTGTGATTCACAGATCTCAGCTCCTGAGTAGGTAGGATTTCAGGTATGAGCCACCAGGGTTACATTGCTTCTTGAACTAATACACAGGGTGATGTTCTAATTTTATCTGCTCATTCTGTACCTTTCCTTACTTTGTGATGTACTGTTGTGTAAAGCTACTATGTAATGCACACATTATGACCCATTTTTATAAGATGTCTTCAAAATTACTATCTCTGGACAGAATAAGGTGACTTTCTACCTATGAATATTAAAAATGGACTTAGGGACTTTTCTTAAATAGAAGAATTTGATACTAATAATTGTGAAACCAGATCTAAATGCATCACTTAAAAGGATCCTGCCGGGTGGGGAAAGGAGAGAGAGGGAAAGAGAGAGGGAGGGAGGGAGGGAAAGAGAGGGAGGGAGGGAGGGAGGGAAGGAGGGGGAGAGGGAGAGGGAGGGAGAGAGGGAGAGGGAGAGAGAGAGGGAGAGGGGGAGAGAGAGAGAGAGAGAGAGAGGGGGGGGGGAGGGAGGGAGGGAGGGAGGGGGAGGGAGGGAGGGAGGGAGAGAGATGGAGAGAATGATGATGATTTTACACAAGAGCAATTCAGGACTGGTATATCCAGCCCTGAGATGGGGTGTTGGTGACTCAGTTAAGAAGACAGCAATAGCCCAAAGAGATCAATCAAGTAAGATGGGAGTGATCAAGGGTATCACAGCAGAGACTTTTCATGTTCCTTCTGAAATGGGCAGAAAGCCATTGTGGGGGTCGAGGCAAGAGACACCTCATGCTATGAGTGTTTCAATCAGAGTAGAACAGGAGGCCCTGTTTAGGGACTGCAGTGTGCAAGTGTTGGAATAAGGGTGTGTTGCACTCACGTGGTTTGCATTACAGGTACACAGTAGTATATTCAGTTTCTACATACAGTTTAAAAGGTTAACAGATGGTGTTTTCGGATGACATGGATGTGAGATAAAAGCAAATAAAAGCTCAAGGAGAATTCCAAAGTGTGGGAGAATGGAAAGAGTGTGGGGAAGAATAGTTCTGATTTTGTGTTTTTATCTCTGCTGGATTTATCAGGCTTCTTCTATACATATGTTCACTTCTAGACCAGTCTGTGCAACCTCCTCCCATAGGTGGCAAAGCTCAGTTGGAATTCATGCCTCTGGTGTGGATGTATATGCTTGTGGCCAGTGCCCAAGGGGCAACTTCGGTTCTAGTGGCAAAACCTAGCAATTAAAGCTCAAAATTTAAAAAAAAAAAAAAAAAAGAGGGGGCGGTCCTGCTGGGGCTAGGAAGGTGGCTCAGCAGTAGAGCGCTGGTCTCCATGCATAAGGCCCTGGGTTCAATTCCTTGGCACCACATACACAGAAAAAGGCCGAAGTGGCGCTGTGGCTCAAGTGTTAGAGTGTCAGCATCGAGGTGAAGAGCTCAGACACAGCGCCCAGGCCTAGAGTTCAAGGCCCACAACTGACCAAAAAAAAGGGGGTGGGGGAGTACTCCCATCTTGGAGTTTGTCTGGAAGGCTGCAGTGCTGGGCATCTTTGCTGGCTATAAGCAGGTTCCCCAGAACCCAAAAGGAGCATATGGCTCTTCTTAAAACTGAAGGTGTTTATATCCAAGGTGAAACCAAATACTGGTCGGACAAGAGATGTGCTTACGTATAACAAAGCCAAAAGCAATATTGACTCTTAGAAGCAAACGTAACAAAACCAGTCACCTGGGGAAAGGTAACAGATATTCATGGCAACAGTGGCTTGGTGGCTGCCAAATTCTGAAGCCACCTTCCTACAAAGGCCAACGGACACCGAATCCACATACTGCCGGATTAAATCTAATGAAGATCAAATGGAAGTGGGTTTGTGCTCTTGTAAAACAAAATAAAATGGCCCTAGAGGGAAAAGGAAGAGTTACAGAGAGTAAAATTGACTGGAAGATATTATAAACATGTGGAAACTTAACAGTGAAATCCTGCTGAATAATTAATGTAATTTTTTAAAGCCCTAAATGAGCAATGAACTTGAAGAGTGCCACAAACCTCTTCCCACTATATAAGGGAGCCACAAAGTAGACACAGATACATATTAGATATATGTATCTAACAGCATGTCTCTAAAGGCTGCTCTAGCTGAAGTCTGTCTACTGCCTCACTCCTGGGGTCTGAGCATAGCCCAAACTACTCATCCACAAAAATTAGCTCCTTATAATTTATGATTTAGAGCCAGGCACTAGTGGCTCATGCCTGTAATCCTAGCTACTCAGAAGGCTGAGATCTGAGGACTGTGGTTCCAAGCCGGTCCAGGCAGAAAAGTCCTCATGAGACTCCCAATTAACTACTCAAAAAACTGGAAGCAGTGCTGTGGCTCAGTTACCACGTTGAGTAGGTAAGAGTGCTAGCCTTGAGCAAAAGAGCTCAGAGGCAGCACCAAGGCCCTGAGTCCAAGCCCATGACTGACAAAACAAATTATGATCTACAAATGTTTTGTATTTAATTCAGCCACATTTTCTTTTTTAGATTTACACTGTTTCAAAACATAATGCACTGAAATGCTACATAAGTAATATATTGTCTTTTTTGCAATTTTAAGCTATTTTAAGGATGCAGGAAAAAAAAAAAAAACAATGTATCAAACCCCACCACACCTCCACCACAGCAGTTACCCAAACTGATTTATTATTTATGTATGTATGTGTTTACTTTTTATTTGTGAAGTGGGGGAGGGTGGCGCGCATGCCAGTCCTGGGACTTGGGACTATCCCTGAGTTTTTTGCTCAGGGTCTGTGCACTACCACTTGAGCCACAGTTCCACTTCTGGTTTTTTGGCAATCAGCTAGTGATGAGTCTCATGGACTTTCCTACCCAACCTGGCTTCAAACTGTGTGTGATCCTTGGATCTCAGCCTTCCGAGTAGCTAGAATGACAGGTGTGAGCCTCAAGTGCCTGGCTCCAAAGTGGATTTTAAGAACTCTTCAACGGTCCAATCATCTTCTGCAGAGAAGCCAAGCTCACCTTATCTGAGATTCAAGTTGATGCTACAAGCACAGCCCACTCTCCCTCACATTATTTTATTTTTTGTTTACATGGTACCAAGGGATCGAACCCAGGGGCTCATGCATGCTAGGCAAGCACTCTACCACTAACCTACATTCCCAGGCTGTCCCTCACATTATAAATGAAGGTAAATAAAATAGATCCTTATAATAGTTCTGATAAGAAAAATCTTGACATTCAATATGCCACCTGCCAGTTGTTAGAACACTGAGGAGGGACTTTTTTTCTTTTGGCAGTCGAGGGGCCTCTTTGTGCTCAAGGCTAGCACTCTACTACTTGAGCCACAGCTCCACTTCTAGTGTTTAAGTGGTTAATTGGAGATAAAGAGGATCACAGGGACTTTTCTGCCCGGGCTGGCTTTAAACTTTGAACTGCAATCCTCAGATCTCAGCTTCCTGAGTAGGTAGGTAGGATTACAGGTGTGAGCCACCAGTACCCAGCTAAAGGTAACTTTTCTAGGTAGACTTTAGAGTAGGGTCACAGAGACCATCTTTATTATAGCTTTCCAGGGGCTGGGAATGTGGCTTAGTGGTAGAGTGTTTGCCCTGGGTTCAATTCCTCAGTAACACAAACAGAAAAAGCTGGAAGTGGTGCTGTGGCTCAAGTGGTAGAGTGCTACAGCCTTGAGCAAATGAAGCTCGGGGACAGTGCCCAGGCCCTGAGTTCAAACCCTAGGACTGGCAACACACACACAACACAAAAAAACAGCAACCAAAAAAACCCAAATATAGCTTTCCACCCCTATTTTGGTTTTGTATAGTAACTGTAGGGTTGCCATGTAGAATTTTTGGTCAAAGAATATAAATGGATTCTGATCCATACGGTTAAACATTACAAACTGACATCACCTACACTGACTACTTACCTAGAATTCTTCACTATCTTCCCTAGAAAGCACACACACAGTGAAATGAGTCTACTGTTCTGGGAGCAGGTGTCATTGACAGCCTATGAACAGATTTATTTTCACCTTCATTTCCAATACCCACTAAACTATGCTCAACTGAGGGGACAAGCAGCAAAGAGCTGCTCCAGAAGGTGAGATGCCTAGTCCAAGGTGATGTGGCTAGTATGATGTGGGCCCCAGTCTCAAGTTCAGATCCCTTCTGCCTCTCCAAACTCAACTGAAGGTTCTGCTGCTAGCTTGGTCTGCTGGGAATCCTTCAGTTTGGTTCTACTACATGCCCAAGAAACTGGCTATGTCTAGAAAGGATGGAGAACCAACACTGGAGTGCAGAGAGTGCATGTGACTGCCTAAACACAGCCATCC